GCTTTGCAGGTGTTTGTTGACAGCGAGGTTGGAAAACACTGTATCATTAGAACATATTAGTGGGATTTTGGCTAAAGAACGTGAAGTCCTGCTAAGGTAACTGGGGTAGATCTCAAATAACAGGCACGCGCAATTTTTCGCTACATAGGTTCCGATAAGGAGTAACGAAGTCACAGCCAGTGATCGGGCTCTGGACATCGACATTCGTAAAAGTGGAAAGATTGCTTCCTAAGCTAAGCTTCAGTATGAGTGGTCCGGACCTTAGTAAAGCATCCTACATTAACGTGCCACCAGTAAATCTGGTCGAGTTAATTCGAGTACTAAATTTTCCATGGAACGTGACATGACGTTCTTTGTTACTATGTTGTAAATGGATAAATGTTACGTGAGAGAGTTGCTTTCGGGTACTTACACCCCAAATAGTGGTTGCGCGCCGCATCGCCAAAGCTTCGGCCATAACAGCAGTATGTTTGCGACTGTCTGCGATACTTCTTGCTGTGAGTAGTCCTAGTAACATTGATCCAGCTTCAGGGGCTCTCACAGCTAATGTGGGCTTGAATCCCAATCTGAAAACACTCTTGCTGATGAAACCCGACTTGATGTCTCCGGAAACTGGTTGTACTTGATTCGATTACGCAGCCAATGTACCCACCGGTTTGCCGCGGCGAAGCAAAGGAAGATAATGCGGAAAGCAGAAACAGGGCCTGATTGCGCGTGTCTAGTAAAAGTTACGTTATGACTGGTTCAGACGCGGTGCTCTGTTTGGCCAACCGTAACCCGTAAGTGAATATGTTTTCTGCTCCTCAAAACCATGGACTATTTCCATTGCAGCTTTGTACTCCTATCAGATCGGTTAGGCAGCTAACTTGCTCGGTGGTGAAGCCCATTCCGAAATGCGACTACCCTCGCAAAGTAGACAATTACAGGCCAATTTGTCTGACACCTATTTTGGCAAAGGTTGCTGAGAAAATCGTGAAGAAGGGATTGCTGCAACTGCTACAGTCAAACGAGGTCCTGACGCCCGCACAGCACGGTTTTATGCAAGGTCGCTCATGCATTGCGAACCTGCTTGTGACGAGGCATGAGTGGTTGAAGGCAATAAACAAGAGGAAGTCCGTCGACGTGATATTCATCGATTTCAGTAAAGCGTTCGACAAGGTCAGTCATGAGGTTCTCCTTCACAAACTCAGCATGTGTGGCGTCGGTGGTTCACTGCACTGGTGGATCCGCGACTTTCTTGTTGGACGAAAGTGGAGAGTACAGGTCGACGACCATCTAACTGACTGATACCCCTCTACAAGTGGGGTGCCTCAAGACAGTGTGCTGGGGCCCACTCTGTTCCTGATCCACATCAACGATCTACCGCAGCTTCTCGGGTCGCCGTGTGCCTTGTTTGCGGACGACATGAAGATTTGGAGAGAAATCGACGCTCCCGATGACTGTGGCCTACTTCAGCAAGATCTCAACCGCTTATCCACATGGTCTGCAGAAGTTCTTCTCCCGGTCAACCCAGCCAAGTCGGTATTTATGAGCCTGGGGAAGGGTGCTAACCGCCGAACCTACGCCCTTGACGGCCAAACGCTATATCCCACACCCTCCGTGAAGGACCTAGGTGTACTCTCACGCTACGATTTGAAGTCCGTGGACAACACGAACAGGCTATATCGGAACGGACTGTGCATGCTTTGGGCGCTCAAACGTAGCTTCGGCACATGGTCTGAAGAGGTTGTCACTCGCCTGTTCTCTTCTATCATTAGACCAATGCTAGAGTACGGTTCGCCCGCCTACTTTCCGATTACCCGAGGCAAGGCACAAAAGATCGAACGGGTCAAACACGTTGCTACCAGGCTGATCCCGAGTTTACGTGGCTTTGGGTATGAAGACCGGTGCGAGAAACTAGGACTCTACACTTTGTCCTACCGTCGGGTGCGAGTCGACCTCATTATGACCTACCGTATTCTACATCTCGGTGAGTTCCCCATGCTAAGGCCAATGCTGCACTTACGAGGGCCATGCAGCACACGCGGACACAGATACAAACTTGTCGTGCCGGATGTAAAATGTGTTCCCCACCCACTGTGCTTCGAACGGAGAGTGGTAAACATTTGGAACAGTTTGCTCGGACATGTGAGTGAGGCAACATCTGTGCAACAGTTCAAAACGTTGTTAGATTTGTATTTTGCCTCTATCCGATTCAGAGAACGACTGCACACTTACGATGACATATCACATATGTGAATCCTGAAATATCGTAAGTCGAATATTTTAAATATTACATGAGAACGACAATGATATTCACGGTTGACAACTTTTATAATGTTTTTCACGATATTTCGGAAGATTTGTACAGAATCCATTTCTACTTGCTCTATAATACAGTATTCAGTATTCAGTATAAATAAGAGATATACCGCCGGTGTGTCAGGTCTGACTGCGCGAAATGCGAGCTTTCACAAAGTGGCTACAACCACTTCCATTATCGCGCCGAAGGATTTTGGAGAAAAAGCGTTGCGCTGTCTCCATGGAGGTGTTGGGCGGAACATGAAGTACCAACAGAAAACAGGATGCGAGCAATTTGGTAACTCCCACTAATGTACGGATCTTCAAATCTTGCATTTAAACTGCATGTGTCGAAGGTGTGTGAGTCGCCGCAGCCTCTTTTCTCATGGGTGACATTGAGTATAGTGTGGCTGTTGGGTCAGAAAAGACCCATAGTCCCGCTGTAGTCGCGGACAAATTTGGAAACGAATGTACCCAACAGCGAACTCTAGGATATCAAAGGCTGGATAGGCCAACAGATCATCCAGTTAGCCAAAGACTTTTGCGCATTGCACTCCCAAATCCCGGCGAGCAATGCGTCAGTAAGTTAGGCCCATGCTTTAGAATAACTTGACTAGACGCACAGTCTGTGTAAAGGTGTCCAGGTCGAGTCTAAGACAAAATAGGCGGCAACGGTTCGCTGTTCTGTCAATGGTTCGTCATCATTCCCATCGCTTAAGCAAGCAGTCACTTACATGTTTAGTTATATATCACTCAACAAAAAATTGAGCCCTCAACTTATCGTGGAATGTATGAGTTTTCTCACATTCTCACATTTGCCAATGTAGAAACTAATATATATATATATATATATATATATATATATATATATATATATATACCCGTAAATACATACATAGAAACTTGAACCTGACCCTTCTCTTTGGTTCATCCAACTCCGAAGATATTAACGTGGATTGTCACAGAAATACATACCATAGCATACCATACAGAAACACACCATAACATGCATACGTGCTTACAGGCGGAAACACTGGATTAAAATGATTTACATCTTAGCTTTCTGTCTTACACTAACAAGATTTTTGCAATATACTAAGGAAGTGTCTAGAAGCAAATATTCCACGACACGCGGTGTCCTTTTGTTCGATGCGCACTCTTACGAAGTTGTGACGTAATCATCTTAACAATTCTGTTCAATACAGTTGAACAGCTATAATCTAGTCTTTGATGTGCGGTGGATCCAGTCGCCCCGACTAACATCACCAGAATAACAATTAACACCGATAAGAAAATGAGGTTGAGCGCAATTGGAATATAGTGAAACTAAACTCAAGAAACAAGTGTGTTAAAATAACGAGGATAGAATAGAAATCAGGAGTTAGATGCATGAAACCGTGAGGATTATGTGAAGAATACCTGGGTAGACGCTAACAGAGAAGTGACTTGCACTCATCCTTAAGTTAAGTGAACCCGAGACAATGCTAAATTGTGTTTGGGTGCATTGACCAGATGAGTATATCAGCGCTTTAGCAACAACCTTGGTGGGGCGCATTGACTTTTAACACCGACCTGAATGGTAAATAGCCCCAACGAATTTTCTGTTTGACTGCTTATATTTAAATGATCCACACATTCTACATAATTTCTGCTGTCGAATGGTGTGACAATGAACATGATACATAAAATTATCGCACATCATAGTCCTGAATGTCTCATGTGAATATTTGTACGAGAGACTGTTTTCTACATTGACCAAAGTAGGATATTTCAGCCTACTTGGAATTTATCACATCAGATGTAAATTCGCGCAGATGTATGCAAGCGCTGTTTTAGTGCCATTTGCAAATGATGCAATTGTTCCAGCTAAGCCTTTAATTTGTGTTTCTGTGATGCGAATTACTGCGACTTTGGTCATAAGGATTTAGTGGGAAGTTCCAATAGGACAACCCTTGGCTGTACTTGAAGCAACTTCTTAAATAGGACAAGGACCTTATTATGGCAAATGCGGTGGAGTAGAGCTTCACGAAGGTTGCTAACGGTAGAATCTCATCAGGACCGCAAGCACACTACGGATTATATCAAAAGTTCTTTATCGCTGCAGATGAAGGCCGGAAAGCCGCTAACTTTAGAGGCACGCAGTGAACGGAGGGATTTCATTCACAAGTTCTTCGGTAATTCGAGGTTGAAGTGAAATTGTTTCATTCAGTCTAATGATCGTTTCGGTTGTGTCTTTCCCAGCTTGCACTCGAAATGGAATTATTCTGTTTCTCCAAATGGTCGATCACTGAGTTCTGAGAAAGCAAGGCGACTACAAAGAGCCCGGAAGTCTCAAATTAACGTACAGTGTAAAAATTGACTAGGAAGGCCACTTCGTAATTATGGTTTATTCCAACTGTAAAGCATGTGATTTTAGATTCTCACGCAGTTTGTCCTCGTATTTGTTCACGTGCTTAACATGATCTAGGTTGTAGGGACGGCGATAGACATATGGTCTAGCAGCGTCCAATCGAAATGGGGTTGGGATTTCTCAACTCTGACTCTATTGGTCGATAGTTCTCTATATGCCAGAATATGAGCCCTGCTTATCGAGTCAACTCTGTAAGTGGGAACTAGACAGGCAAGCATTCTATCGATTTTGAGTAATACTTTGCCTGAAAATGCTCTGAAAGTGATTGACCGCGACTTGCAACTCGAGACAAACCGAAGGTTGTATCGTTATGCTGTTGGCACATTCGGAATTAAAACCTAATGTAATCGCAACAGGAGTGCTGAGCATTTTGATTTACTTCCTTCGTTCCTGTTCTTCTGAGTCTGAAGAAAAGTGAGCGTTTCTACAGAAATTTGTAATATTCTAATTGTATTATCTGCATTCGTACAACACACGGAAGATAAACCACCAAATATTTTATTGAAGGTTAAAGTAATTCGTTGTCAGTTTGTTATCGAAAGCAAGGACTAATTCCTCTCAGTTGATTGGTAAAAACGATTTCCGTGCGTCGGAAGTGTCATATGTAGTGTTTTAAGTCTGTCACGGAACATAAAATTGCTGATATTGCTGCTAGTCACTAGGCGAAGTTCCGGTGTTACTTTGCTGAATGCTGAATACTGCACGTGGGAGCAAGTAGAAATATAAATCTGTACAACTCCATTGCAATATGGTCGAAAATTCTAGAAAAGGTTTCTGCACTCCTTGATAACCGAATCGTTCAACTAGTTATTATGTAGGGTTTTGGAAGCTCTGACTAACAGTTTAACAGGGTTCACAAATGCAAGACGTCATTGCTGGTGTGCAATAGTTCGCTGAATCGAATGTTGTTGAAACGTAAATCCAACAGCGTTTTGAACTATTGTACAGATTTAGCCTCTACGACTTGTCTCGGCAGACTGTTCCAAACATTTATCACTCTCCTTTCGAATCACAGGGGTTGGGGTAATCGTTTTATATCTAGCACCGCAAGCTTGTACTGGTGTCCTCGTGTGTTGCATGGTGTTCGCAAATAAAGCAATTGCTTCAACATGGGGATGTCACCGGCAGGTCCTGATGAGATCGACTCGCACCCGACGATGGGACAAGATGTAGAGTCCGATTTCCTCGCAGCGGTCTTCGTACGCAAATTTCCGTAAACACGGAAGGAGCCTTGTAGCGACTGGTTAAACTCGTTCGATCTTCTGTACCTCGCCTCGGGTGATTGGGCAGTAGGCAGGCGAGCCGTACTCTAGCATTGGTCTTATGATGGAAGACAAGAGGCGAGTAGTACCTCTTCAGAGCTAGTACAGAAGATACGTTTGATCACCCAATACGTGAGCAGTCCGTTACGATATACTTTGTTCGTGTTGTCAACAGAATTCAAATCGCAGCGCGAGAGTTCAATCAGGTCCTTCATAGGGGATGTGGAATGCAGCGGTTGGCCGTCATTGGTGTAAATTCGGCCAATACCACCCTACCCCAGCCTCAGAAATACCGACTTGGATGGGTTGACCGGGAGGCGGACTTTCGCAGACCACATGAAAATGCTGTTGAGGTCGTGCTGAAGTAAGCTGCAATCGTCTGGGGTGTTAATTTCTCTCCAACTCTTTAGGTCATCAGCAAACAGGGCACACGGCGAACGAAGAAGCTGAGGTACGTGGTTAATGTGGAATACTAACAGAGTGAGCCCCAGCACCGTGCCTTGAGGTACTCCACTAGTCGAGGGATACCAGTCAGTTAGATGGACGTCGATCGGTACCCTCCATTATCGCCCAACGAGAAAGTTCTGGAACCAGGTGCTGCAGATTCGCAGCGCGTGGAGGAGGACCACATGGCTTACCTTGTCAAACGCTTTACTGAAATCAATGTAAATTACTTTTCGACAGACTTCCCCTGGTTTACTGCCTACAACCATTCATGCATCGCCATCATCAGGTTGGAAATGCATGAGCAGCCTAGTAGCAAATTGCTTTGCAGGCTTCAGTAGATCTTTTGAATGGAGCAGGAGTAGTAGACCCTTCTTCAAGATCTTCTCGGCAATCTTGGCCATAACAGGTGTCAGACGAATCCGCTTGTAGTTGTCCGATTTGCTGGGGTCAGTGTTTTTCCTAATCGCCTTAACCATTGAGCATTTCCATTCGTCCGGCAATTAACCTTCGGATAGTGACCTGTTGAGGAAATCAGACACAGCAGGTGAAATGGTCGCCGATAGGGACTTGAGAATCAGTGCGTGGAGTCCATCAGGTCCAGCAGGTTTGGTGAGGTCAAGGTTGGTGAGTAGTTGACGCACCTCTTCAACACCGCAAACAAGACTGTCGAGTTCGGTAATCGCGGTTGTTGCGGGCCCGTCAAATATCCCCGCAAAAAGGCGCCAGAAACTCCGGCATAACGGCTGTAGAAAGCGGGGTCCAATTCCTCCCCACAACATAGCAGTGTTCAGCCACTCCGAGGCGCGGCCCAACTGCGCACCTGTTGACAATATTCTTTTACAAACTACTACCCCGTCGTGGTAGCAATTTTCCCTAACTTAATAACCCATAGCATTGGCTGTGATTCGCCCTTTGTTGGTCGTAAAAGAGCCTTCAGGGGACCACTTACCTTTCTTCCTCTTCGCCTTAGTGGGAGTCGGTCGGGTCACGTGATTTTGCGTGAGTCGTTAGCTGGCCAGCCTTTGCGTCTAAGTCACTAGTGCGCGTCTACCGTAACCCCCTCTCGTGTGCGTCCGTTCCGAGGGCTCAGCGTCTACCCGAATACGTGCGGCTAGGATCGTTCTCACGCTCGCTCAATTTCCGTCTCACCAGCGCGTACCCCGGGCTAAGCTAACGCCATCAGGTCAGCGCAAATCCGTTCGACTGGTCAGCGTTCCAGGCCGTTACCGTAGGCGTGCTCCAACCGTGCCAGTGACAATCTTATCAGGCGTTACGCAATCATAACAGCGGCGTTCCCTCAACTATAACAGCGGTACACGTCGAACTCGGTACAGACGTTTGGTCATTTGCAAACACGGAAGCCAAGTGCTTCTCCAGTTGGATGATTGCACAGGTTTAGAGGTTAGGGAGCAATGATTCACACAAGCAACCGTCTTTTCAGGGCTATATTTGCAGCGGTTGCGACGTGCTGTTTGAAATGCCGGCGCTTGCTAGTTTTTACAGAATTGTCAATATTTCACTGTCACAATCATTGGAAGAGCTAGAGAGGAAGAATTTTTCCCGCAATGTTCGCCACCGCTGAGCAAGTTTATTATACCCATTCTCGAACCAATGCGGCTTGACTGGTCCAACTCCCCGAAACTTCAGCTGTACAAGCTGAGAACACAGTAACGTCAGTTTCTCTAATAATAGCTCAACTGTATTTTGCAGGTGTAGCTTGTGGCAGAGACCAACCTACTTTGCTCTTGGCTTCAGTTAAACCGTCGAAGTTAGTTTTCCGGTAGTTGTAAGCTGGCTCCAGAGGACAGGAATACGGTAAAGATAGATGCATACTGGCTATGAGCACTGAGTGATCGCTTGCTGCTAGGGGCTCTAGGATCTGAACGTCATACACATAATGTTCATAGTTTGTTAACACCAAGTCCAGGCAAGACCGAGTTGATCGCGGCGTTATTCGAGTTGCCTGGTATATGTGTTGCGTTGCTCCAATTGCAAGTACTAAGTCCATGAACATTGTTTCGATCTCATAATATCCTGGCACAAGTCCAACTTTAGGCCAGCGCATCCGCGGACAATTGAAATCACACATGAGTGGAAAATGCGACGACTCATGTGCTTTCGGAAATGCGACAGCCAATCCAAACTTCGGCTCAGAGGACTGCGATAAAACGCACCCACGAGCAGCTCCCAGCCTCCGAAGTGGATCGAGCCCCAAAGCTGCTAACACAGATCATCTTCGCTTCTGTAAACGCTCCCAAATCTCCCACACAGGAAGGACCAGATGTAGAGCAAGATCCCACCGCTGGCAGTCAATAGTTTATCGCAGCAGGAACGTGAGTAGCCACAGATTTGAGTTCCTGGGCTATCACCATAGAATTCAGCCACGTCTCTGCGACTCCTATTGTTTCTGGCCGCTCAGATGCCACGAAACGAGAGAGTGCATCGCGCGTGTTCTTAAGACTAAAAATGTTGGTTAAGGCTACACGCCAGACGCAGCAGGAACCTCCAGGCGTGCTTGAAGTGTGAGCAACCTGTCTATCCTGATTCGTGGTACCTTGGAGACAACCCGAGAATTTACGATACAAAGACTCGTTTCCCCATCACAATTTCGTCTCCAGTTCAATGTTTGAAGACTGGAGTCGTTCTCGATCCATCGGACCCATATATGGAAGAACATGGAATTTTAGACCCTTCAACCTATTTAATCGGGACAAGATAAGCCTGGGACTGGCTTCTTCCACAAAGGTGATTCTCATTGGTCGACTTTGTTGATCATCTTTCTTTTCAAGACGGGTTATTTCTGCACTTTCAACTCCTCCTCCTCCAAGTTGAACAGTCTGTCAATTAGGCTGTGTAAACATGACGTCATGATCGTGGCGTATCTGGGGAGCTGGATCACTGGACTGAAGCGCTTAGCAGATCACGAGAATTACACGCCACCGATCGGCCAAAGTTGTCCTCGCAAGACGAGAATTCGCTTGCGCTTCACGTGGCCTGACCTGTCGTTGATTTGCAGCAGCTGAAATCATTTCATTTGTCTGCCTTCTCTTGTGCTTTCCAAGTGTCCTCAGTACACAGGCCTTCACACACTTGGACATCTGTGCCTGTAGAATACGACACTGGTGAAATAATCGCGTCAGGTATGGCTGGGCTGCTGGTAACTGCGGGACTGCTTGCCGGTGAGTTTGCACGGGATGAGCAGGAAAGCTTATCTGAAATCTGGAGGTGTTTCGAATAAGCTTGTTAGGCTAAACAGACGGAGCTGCTCTCAACGGAATGATTCACTCTACAAGGCAGTTTGCGATTCTGCTCCGCCTTCTCCGGTTTTATCTCGTTTCGGCAATTCTTACACAAAATTTGAAGGAAGTCATTTTGGATTTCACGAAAATGTCGAAAATGCTCAATCGATAGTCCAATGCATGGAATATGGAATTTAGCGTGACAAATAACACACATGGGTGCATTAGTTCGACTTCCGACACGTTTGAAACAAGAACCGCATGATGACTGTATCGGCATTATGAAAAGTCTGAGACCAAGATCTCAATCAATTGTGGAGCAAAAAGCGATAGTAAGAGCTCCGAAGTGAAACGGAGACAAAACAAGTGTCTACGGTTGAAAAATCCAGAATCAGAAATGAAACTGAATGCTATTGTATTTTCCATAGAATAACTCCTATTCACGGAGAAATCTAACAAACAATTT